TAAGACCCCAGATGCTATATTTTTTGATAGCTGAGCACCATCAGCTTTCTTCACCACATTTGTTTGTGCACCTGCTTTGTCTTCAGAGATTGTGTTGGGAAGGTGAGCATCATGGAATGCCAGGTTATTAGAACAAAGTGTTCTTGCATTGAGGGAGTACTACTTGAGTGAAGTCCCAATGTCTGTCTGCTACCTTCATACTTAACATATAAATGTATGAACATAGATCTATTTCCCTATTGTTATATATAAATATATTTCCATATGTACATGCCTGTATTTAGACCTCTATAAATCATCTTTGTCTCCTAGTTCTTTCCTCTATTTCTTTTACTTTTCTCTTGTCCCACTATCATGTTTGATCTTTATTTGGATTTAGTAATACCTCTTGGCTACATTGCCCTTGATCAAGTCGCACCAGGCATTCTATGTCCTCCCCGCCATAGATTTTAGATCGCTTGTTGTTCCCTCACCCCTGGGTTTGTTTACACCTCCTTCCCTTCTCTCTCCTCCCCCTCCTCTCCCTCTCTCATGTGCCCCTGGAACTGTCAGTCTCGTTGTTTTCTCCTCCAGATTGTTTATCCCACCTATCTTATCTAGACAGACACGCAAGTACAATTCTTCTTGATATGATTGAACTACTGAGTTGTGCGATATGTGGATTAAGTGCCAATAAAACTGTTTTTTAAAAAAAGAAATAAAGAACAGAATACAGAGACATATGCACACTCATGTTTATCACAGCAATTTCTATAATAACAAAAAGATGGGAACAATTAAAACCCCCAATTGATGGAGGAATGGACAAACTGTTCACACACACAGTGGAATATTACACATCCTTAAAAAACAATGATGAGTCTGTCGAACACTTCATGACATGAATAAAATTGAAGGGTATTATGCTCAGTGAGGTTAGTCAATCTCATAAAGATAAATATTTCATGACACCATTATTATACAGGAAAAATGGTTTTCAGACTAAAGGAAAATACTTTGATCATTATGATTAGACCAGGGATTTGGGGGAGAAGGAGAAGGAATAAATCAGAAGGTAAGGAAGGAGGACAGGTGGGAAAAGAAGGAGGAGGGGGATGGGGAGGACGAGAAGGGGGAGGAGGAGGAAGAGGAGAAGGAATCACATACTTGTGGGGGTTTATTGGGATACTGTCACTGTTTTGATGAGATGGGCCATGTAACTACATATAGTATGATTTTCTTTGTATGAGTTACATTTCTGAAATAAAAGGGAAAATGAATATAATTAAAATCAGAGAGATAGATATAGAGATAGATAGGTAGATAGATAGAGGTCATAGCCTTAAAAACCTACCAGATTCCTTACCTGTCAGACCTACACAGAGTTTGAGGTAAAAGTTAGGGTACTGGCGACTATGACTCAAAACCATGTGGTCATGATCATCTGCCTACCACCATGTAGTCAGGTGGTACAAGTTTCACAATCAATCCTGTATGGCTGGAAATCTGTGGTTGTGCATGCATGCGAAGCACAGTCCGTTCTCCTATTCTGTCGTCCTGTCTGCAACGGTGATGAATTGAACTGCCACCAATCATGATTTTGCTATGATATCTGCTCTTTTCAATCGTATATCATGACCCCAATGGCCTTGAGTAATTGGACATCTATCAGCCTCATACTGATAGCTTCTTTCATTTGGGGTGATTTGTCTCTTTTACCCCTTTGTCTTGTTTGAATATTCTTCCTACTCTCTTATTTGAACAAGGAATTGACAACTAGAGCTTCAGGCACTATTTGGGCCAAGAGGCAGAGATGAGCATGGAAGCCATGCACGGAGAATGGTGGATCAGAAAGATC